TGGTTAAAACATTTTTATCCTCTGGAAAGAATTGAGGGTTCTATTTTCATGTATGAAATTATTTAAAAACAGTGAAGAAGTAGCTGTGTTAACATTCACTGAGGTCCACGGTATTGTTGGACACATAACTGGATCTATATAGTTCAAGGTACAGTTCTTGATCATGAAGCAGAAAGAAGGACTCAGGCTTTTAGGGGCTTTGAACTTGAAACTCATTTGTACGTAAAATATAGTGGTATGTCAGGGTGGGGGAAATGCTATTATTTCAGTCTGGTCTTAATTATAAATGGGCACAATGCTCAGGATATGGCAGGTAAGTAGGATATAACTTTTCTCCTTCTTTCTCTTGTGCAAATTCTTTCGTTATATTGCCAGTAGTAAGAAATACTTTACCATTCATATTCTCTGTTGCACTGTCTCTCCCTCTTTCACCTTTGCTTATTTTTATGCAGTAGCAGTAGTACATACCAGCTCTTTGTTTTCTATTGTGGCTCCTTACAGGTTAGGTAGATATTTAATTTTTAATTATGTCTCATTTATTTAATTTATAAATTGTTATTAATAAGTAGGTTCTTGGAATTTTTAAGTAAGAAAAAGATCACAATTGAATAGCTGGTGCCCTAGTTACCTTTCTTGTTGCTGAGACAAAATATCTGACATCTAATTTAAAGGGGGAGGTTTATTTTGCTCACGGTTTGCAGAGGTTTCAGTCCATTATTGGCTGGCTCCAAGGCAGATGGCAGAAGGGCATCACAGAGGAGAGACCATTTATGGGAAGCAGAAGAGAGCCACAGCAAGCAAGCAAGGGGCTGCCACAGCTTTCTTTGCCCCTTAAGTGGCAGCACTCACACCTTCAATCCTAGGGCCCTTGATCCTAGCACTTACTGTACCAGGAATCAATCCCAGCCACACAAACTCTAGATCCTGACACCTCTGAGAAAGCCCCACTCATGCTCAAACGAGGCTTTGGGGGGACATCTAGACACAGCCATAACACATGGTGAGCCTCTCAGTTTTAGGTTTAAAAACTTTTATTCATATCACTTCTCACACCCGTTATTTACTGGTAAAAATATCAACATACTCATTATTTTCTTACACCTGAATTGTATGTTGCCACAGTAACAATTAATGTATATTCTATAAACATTTGTGACATTTTGATTTATATTCTTTCACATAAATTGTGAGCATATGTACCAAATAACAGTTGGGCTCCATTCATTAAAATTTACTTGTTGATAATATATATTCTACCCAACTAAAGAAGCCTATTTTTCAAGGTGTCTACCCGTACATAAGAGAAGGGACTAGTGGTGCCGGGCTAACTTTGGAAGTATTTAAATCAAAATGATAATACTTACTTTGCTGACAAAAATTTTGCTTTTAAGTCACTTCTGCCAGTGCTTTTTTAAAAAGACCCACATATTATAAGGCCTTATTTTACCCTATTTGTTTATAAGATCCCTGGGCCTATGGGTGAAGATACCTCTTCCAAACCGCAATCTGTTTGACCTCTCCCGAAAACACAAGACCATGTGCAAAATAAGATCACTTCCGGTCCACCCTTCTCCGTGGCCCACCCGTGCCCCTCCACTGCAGCGTCCTGGTCCTTCCGTGCGCCTTGGTGCTGGGTGGGCGCTCCGGCAGCGCTAAGATCTCCACCCCTTTCTCAGATCTCAATACCAGAAGCAAAGTAAAGCCTTCTAAAAAGGGATTTATTGAGCTTTCCGGTTTTTTTTTTTCCCATATTTTCAACATTTGCAGACTAAACAAAATTTAAATTTGGCTTCAGCTACCAGTTGTAATTTGTAAATCATTCTAAAATTGGACATATTTTGGATAGTAAAGAAAGCACACAGTCTCCTTTTTTAAGTAAAAAGAAAAAAAAATCGCACAAATGAGCCCGGCAGTCGGGTGCATCCCGATGTCTCCCTGGAACCGGTGGGGTCCTGAGGGTGGCGAGGAGGCTCCCTGGTTACTCTCTGAATCCCCACCTGAACCCCAAGTCCAGGGTCACTGCAGGGCAGTGGAAATTTCTCTCAGAAACCAGTGACTTTTAAACCCTTCCTCCATGAAAGTCCACCGCAATTGTATGCTGTAGGCAACGCACAGGAAGATGTGCTCACGTTAAGACACTTATTTCACAGCTTTTCCTCTCAGCTGCCGCCATGTGTTTGTAAATGTTATCAGCAAAATTTGTTCTCAAAAGTAAAAAGTGTTGCAAAAACGGGAGGATGGGGAAAAATGGTCTCTGAGGCTGATTTCAAGCCAAGATTTTGTTTTAAAAATATGCAGTGTGTTGCCATCACTGCCTATCCCCTAAAGTTCCCCCTTTCTCTCTAGAACAAAGACCTCTTTGTGCTCACCTATGGAGCTCTGGTTGCGCAGCTGTGTAAGGATCACGAAAAGGATGAAGATGTGAACAAATACCTAGATAAAATGTGAGTCACTGCCGTGTTTTCTGACACGCTGGCCTTTCCCTGCCTCTGGGGCCTCTTCCTTCCCACCAGCCGCTCCGCTGCTTCCGGGGAGCACAGCAAAAGCCTGACGCGATTCAGATCGAACTCGGGACCTTGTGCCTGCCAAGCAGTCGGCGGAACCACTGAGCTAAATCCCCGGCCCGATATTATTCTTTAAATAACATGAGAGAATAACACATTTGCTTCTTTTCAGCAATTTTTTTTTTTTGCTAAAACAATTCCACTCATAAATATTTGTTTACAAGTGTATTATCAATGAAAAGATATGCAAAGAAAAAAAACTACTGGTACTTTTCCAAAAAAAACCAAAAACAAAAAAACAAACAGAGATCGTGAGTTATAGGTTGAAAGATTTTCTTTTTCCTATATCACATTTTTATTACTTGAATTTTTACCATTACTATAATTTATTTTAAATATGTAAAAACTCAGTTATTCCTTTTTAAATAAAGCCTATTTTAATGTATTTTTTTAGTAGGGATTCTTCCTGCTAAATTCAAGCTTTTAATTTCCCTCAAAATAATTATATGACCATCAGATTATTGCTAAACCCTAAAATGTCTACCAACATTTTAAATTTCTTAATAAAGGACCCTGAAAAGGACTCTAACAGAGCAATGATTGGAAAATACGCACTGCCCAGAAGATTTACTTAGGAGACTGACGGGGAAATTTAGTGTAGTGTTTTAGAGCTTTTAAAAAAGGTTCACTATATTTTCTGCCGGAATACCGAAAACAACAAAGGAAAGCTTGAAAGATCTTTTCTAACTTGTTTTTCTCCCTTGTATGTTTATTCTCCTTTTTCTTTTCAGAAAATTCTGTTTTGGTACATGCCTCTCTGTTCTTTGTTTTTACATTTTATTTTATTTTTTTATTTTCTAGATTAGAAGCAAACTGCCCGATGACCCGGTCCCTGGCTTTCTCAGCCTCTTCTCAGCTCAGCTGCTCGCAGTTGCGGTAGCTGCTAATGCTCGGGACACCCGGCAGTGTCCCCCTTAGCACTTCCAGGGTTATTTAACATGATTTATAGGAAGTTTGCACTGCTTTTCTGAGAGCTCTAGGAGGTCATTTCCTTGACAGAAAAATAAATTTGTGGACCTAATGGAATGAACATTTTAACAAATACGGATTAAGTACTTGATAAAGTAAATTTTCAGAGGTTTCAGGAAGGTCTTTGCTTAAAAAAAAAAGACATTTGAATTTCTTTAAAGGCTTCTGAAAGTCTTACATTTTTAATTTGATTTACAAATATTTACTGTGTAGAAACATTTTCTCTGACCAAAGCAAGATAAATAATTATGCACTGCTCAGAACCCTCTGGTTTCCATCACTATTCCCAGGGGCAGAAGCCACAGCTATGCAAAAAGTAATTGGGGATCATTAGGACCGTGTGTGCCCCGTCACTCTGGGTGTGCGCTTTCCCACCACATCCCCAGCCCTGTACACATTTTAAAATCCGGTTCACTGTTTCTTTCAAAGTAAGTGTTTTGCACTTTAAAATCTCTCAGCATGAGGTTCCTGGCTAGAACTAGAAACCATTTTTCTCAAAAGTTGAATGGGTTAAAATGACTATTTCTATCCATTCAGAAATATAAATAGAATATCCCACTGGACTTAGTGAATTAATAAGCACGCTGACACCAAATCCATCTCCCTTCAATGTTGAAGTTGTCAGAAAATCGCTCACCCATTTTTAGACCCCCGGGAACAATTATTTCTTCTAAGCCCTGCAATGCCTTTGTCCTGCTGGGCAGTCTGGTGCTCTATCTGTCCCAATAGTTTCACTCATTTCTGTATGTAGCTGAAAAATTAAAGGCCAATTTTTAGCAACCTTTTTGCAAAAAACAGTTTACCTTCTTCATTTTCACTATTAAAGCTGTAGTCCCTCAACTGGACCACAAGTCTTTATAAGACAGAGATGCTGACAGTTCTTCGTATCTCTCATCATGGGGCTGGAATTGGAATCCAGGCCCTTTAAATTCCAGTCTTCAAGGAGACGCTCAGTCATCTCAGATGTGTTCTCATATCTCCGTGAAAGGCTCTTTCATAAGAGCATTTCAGGACTGCTAGGGCTACTTACTGGGGGTGGAATCAATGGGTAAGATAAATGCTTCCCCCAAACCCCATCATTTCAGTTTCTCTGGAATGAAAAGTGAAATTTCTGGCCTTGATTACCCCAACACACACAGTATTTATCTTGGATATAACTGCTAATATTTCTGCTCACTTCTTCCCTGATTGTTAGAACCCATCCTGGAAATGCCTGCTCTCCTACCCTGGAAATTATCCTAGAAGAGGGAGCACTCGGGTACCAGGCCTGGTTTCCTGACGTGTTGCTCTCTCCTTCAGTGCTCAATGGGACAAAGATGCCAAAGGCCATTTGACTTGGCCCATTTGGTTTGGTTCCGTTTGTTTCCACTTATGGAGATCACACTCTCCTTCACCCACAGGGGATACAGCATTGGAACACGACTGGTGGAAGACTTTTTGGCTCGGACCTGTGTGACAAGATGCCACAGTTACTCAGAAATTACAGACATAATTGCCCAGGTAAATGCATATTTAGCCATGCTGATGATACGCTTTTAAAATCTCTGGCTCTCTCTGAGTTTGCTCTCGTTTTCTGCTCTGGTTAGAGAGGTTCCATGTGTATATGTTGCCAGGTGCTGAGACAGGGATTCTAATTTAAAAGCATTTTACTTCAGCTGCTGACAATGCTGTTGTGAACAGAAGTGGGATGCTTCCAGGCCTCTATGCATCTATCGATTTCCTGACTACATGGTATGTGTGGTGTGTATCTGTGTCACACTAGGAAAAGTGTCCCAAGAAGGTCAACAGAGGAAGTGTAACATGAGCCTTGTCACACATACTTGCCAAATGAGTTTCTTTATGTTGTCATTGATTTTCACCATGTAGAAGGAAATAGTCTTTGGCAAGATCAGAGAATATTGTTGTAGCTATTTCCAAGAAAAATCCAGAGCTTCCTGGAAATGCATGAGCTTTAAGATCTTTCACAGCCCTCACGTGTGGGAGACGCCTTGGAATCCCCCAAGACTGCCTCAGCTTTCTCAGATGTACAGTCGTGAAGCATGTCCTTAGCCAGCACGCCTTCATTCTTCAGGCCGATGGTGATTAACTTAACATTTGTGATACGTGGGACACTCAGAAGGTATGCGTGGGATGAGATATTTTGGAGGATCCCAGAGGTTGCCCAAAGGCATACACAGCTGGCCAAACAAGCCAGTCCATTCTTTCCTCCCTCATTATTTAAAGTTTTTATTCATGGCCAGACTGACTCTTCACAAGCCTGGCTCTGATATGCTTTGTGATTCTATTTGCAGTTACTTATGTTTCGTCTGTCATCCTTACATCAGCTCTCTGAAATAGGCAGAATAGGAGTTTTTATTCCCATTTTGCAGGTAAGAAAATTGAATCTCAGAAAGAATATGATTAAACTAAATAATAGCATATATGAAAAATTATGCATCAAAACCACAGTCCTGGCTGGGCATGGTGGCGCACACCTGTAACCCAAGCACTTGGGAGGCTGAGGCAGGAGGATCAAGACCAGCCTGTACTACATAGTGAGTTCCAGGTCAATCTCAACTACATAGTGACACCTTGTCTCCAAAAAACCCCCCCAAAACAAAAAACAAAACACAAAACAAAAACAAAAACAAAAAACAATCCAAAGGGAAGTTTCTTTCCCACTTACTAGTGTTACTACAATCATTATTCACCTTTAGTGACGCACAGGGCTGGAATTGGAATCCAGGTCCTTTCTAACCTTAGGACAGTGAATTTTTCATTACCATTAAGCAAGTTTTTAGATTAGAAAATATTTTAGTGCTTATTTGTACATGTTTGCTGTACATAATGATTCATTCATCATGAGAAGTTGGTGCACCCACATAACACATCTCACTTTCTTTTACTCCCCCTTCCCCTCTTTTCTTCCCATCCTTACATCTCTGCATCCTAATTTGCAGATGATTGATCTACTATCCTTCCTTTTACTCCTCACATTGTTTGTACTTTATGTTTCTTGCATAAGAGAAACCATGCAATATTTCAGCTCGTGTGTCTATTTATTTCATGTGCCATTATGGTCTTAAGGGCATCCATTTTTCTACAAATGATTCAAATGTATCATCCTTTATGGCTGAGCAGCACTTCACTGTGGATGTATATACAACCTTCTCTTAACCCATCTGTCCGTTGATGAACATGTAGGTTGCTTCCAAGATTTAGTTGTTATGAGCTGTGCTGCTTTGAACATGGATATGCATGTGTCACTGTAACGTGAGGCCATGGACTCTTTCAGAAAGATATCTACAGGGAAACAGCTGGGAGAGGTAGAATTTCTAATTTTTGTTCTTTGAGGAATCTTCATACTGATTTCACACCAGTTGTACCAGTTTACATCCCTACCCCTGCAGCTTTTCTAGCATTTGTTATGAGTTTTGATGACAGTCATTCTCTTTGGAATAAGGTGGAAGTTCAGTGTTGTTTTAATGTGCATTCTTCTTATGACCAAAGATATTGAACCTTTTCATCATGTATCTATTACCCACTTGTACATCTTCTATTAAAAAGTATTTATTTATTTCAACTGCCATTTTTGATGGGTCTTATATTGGGAAGAGTCTATTTTTTTAGTTTTTCATACATCGTGGAGATTAGCCCACTGTCTGAGGAGTAGTTGGCAAAGTTTATCTCATCCTATAGTTTGTCTCTTTGCTCTGTTGCTTTTTTCCTTTGCTGTGCGGAAGCTTTTTAATCCCATTTGTTGATCCTTGGTGTAACTGCTTGTGAAATTGGAGTTCTGTTCATGGATTTTCAGGAGTTTTACATATTTCATCTTCCAACAGATTGTTTCTGTTTTAATATGTAGGTCTTTGATCCATTTTGATTTTATTCAGTACATGGTAAGAGAAAGTAGTTTATATCTAACCTTCTGCCTGTGTATAACTACCTTCCCAGCGCTATTTGTCAAAAAAGCTAACTTTCCTCTACCAAATGTTGTGGGAGCCTTTGTTAACAACCACTGACTGATTGTGCCTGCCATTGTTTCTTAAGCATATTTTTAGTGTCTTTTTCTAATTGATTGACAGAATATAAGTAGGATACTGAAGCAATGGTTGGAAAAATAAGATAACTTTTTACCAAACTAATTCTATGGCCAAAACAACAGAGTTACTATCCACTCACATAAATGTAGATAGCTCTGTTTGTTGTATTCTACTTGATAGCTCCCCTGAACCGTGTGTGTGTGTGTGTGTGTGTGTGTGTGTGTGTGTGTGTGTGTGGTGGTACTGGGGCTTGAACCCAGGGCCTTTTTTCCAAGCTTCATCCCCAGCTCTAACTTACCCCAGGCGGTGCTTGGCCATGTGATTCCCCCTGCCTCAGCTCCCGCTATGCTGGTATCACAGGTGTGCACCACCTCTCCTGGACTCCACTCAGCCTTCTGGGTAGTAGGGCACAGCCTCCCAGTCATGACACTCAGATTGGCTTGAGAGTGATTATCCCTTGAGATTTGTCCTAACCCATTCTGCTGTCTTTCTAGAGCTATATAATAATAAAATGTGTTTCTAAAATGCCAGGCTTATGGATACTTAAGCAGAGCATTACCTGATGATCCAAAAAATATATAAGGTAGAAAATAAAATGACTCAAATACTTAAAGTTGCTTGCTAGCTTTGGTATCTGAAAAACAAAATAATTTCAAAAACTGATTGGAGGCTCCATTCTAAAGATATGTTAAGAAAACAGTGAAACTTACATTCCTCTGGATGTTTCTATATGTATGATACAGACATTTTCCATGTAATAATAAAACCAGTTATGTTTACAAATAGGTGTTTAAGGATAATTTTTTAAAACATCTGTGAAGAGCAATAACCAGGCTGAAATAGAGGCCTATGCATCTCACTGCTGAGCACAGGAGTCACTTCCTGCCTGCCTTGGAGATCAGAGCTCACACTCTGAGCCTTGAGAACGCTAACCCAGTCTAACTGAGCTCCAGCCTGGCAGTGCAGTGACCCTGAGGAGTCTCCGATCCTCCCACTGTTCTGCTTGGCTCCGAGCACAGAGTCCAAGTTGCTGAAAGGCGTCTGTGAACTTGCAAGAGATAATTCCACATATTAATTTCAATCCGTAAGGAAATATAGTGAGGAAAAAAGTCAGTTTAAGAAATATGTGTTCAAGCCAGGCATGGTGGCGCATGCCTGTGATCCCAGCACTCGTTAGGTTCAGGTAGGAGGATTGCTGTGAGTTCAAGACCAGCCTGGGCTACACAGTGAGTTCCAGGTCAATCTCAACTACATAGTGAGACCCTGTCTCCAAAAACAAACAAGCAAACAAACAAACAAAAAAGAAATATGTGTTCAGAGTTAGTAGAAGGAAGATAACTTTGAAAGTCAAAGGGAGAAATCAATAAAATGGAGACAAAATAGAAAGAACCAATGAATCAAAGAGTCTATTCTTCAAAGGAATTAATACAATAGACAAATTCTAGCCAATCTAACTGAAAAAGAAAAGACCCAAATCAAAGAAATTAGAAATGAAAAGGAAAAATCACACTGGATACTGCCAAAATCAGGAAAATTATTAACAACTACCTTTCAAACATGTACGCCAAATAATTGAGAAGAAAGGGATACATTTCTAGATACATGTTAATTACCAAAACAAAACCGAGAACATTTTTAAAACCTGAATAATCCAATAACAGGCAGTGATAATGAAGCAGTAATAAAAATCCTACCAATAATAAAGCCCAGATCTAGATAGAATCAATGCTGAATTTTACAAAGACTTTAGGGAAGATCTAACACCAACACTTCTCAAGCTCTTTAATGAAATTGAAGGGGAAGGAGTTTTCCCAAAGTCATTCCTAGAAACTAGCATTACCTTGATTGCAAAACCAGACAGGGATTCAGAAAAAATCAGAACTATACAATAATCTCTTTAATGAATAAGAATGCAAAAATCCTCAACAAGATACTGGCAAACAGAGTACAACAAATCATCAAAAAGATCAGACATTATGAACAAGTGGGCTTCATCCCAATGATGCAAGAATGGTTCAACATACACAAAGCAATAATTAGGTACATAAAAAAGGACAAAAAAATCACATGGTCATCTCACTAGACTCAGAAAAAAGCCTTTGACAACATCCAACATCCTTGCATGATAAAAATACTGAAGAAACAAGTACAGATAAAAGCCATTTATGACAGACCTACAACCAACATCATATTAAATGGGAAAACACTGAAAGCTTTCCCTCTAAAATCAGAACAAGACAAGGATGTGCACTATCACCACTCCTATTTAACACAGTACTCAAAACACTAGCATGAGCAATTAAGCAAGAAAAAGAAATAAAAGTGGCATGTATAGAAAAGGAAGAAGTCAAATTATAATTATTTGCAGATAACATGATCCTTTCCATAGAAAAATCAAAAAATCCACCAAGACTCCTAGAATTAATAACCAAATTGAGCGATGTATCAGGACAGACATTTAACATCCAAAAATTTCAT